CCCTAAATTAATTTCTTATTTCTGTAGCTTTGAGCTGACAATAAACATTTAGGGCTTTTCTTGTAAATTCTATAACTTTGCAAAGAAAGGTCGTGTAGAACTGGAAGACGTCTCATTTTAATCCGAAATTTGCGGGCTACAATTATATATCATTAAAAGAAGGGTTTAGCTATCTTTTAGAGTTCTTGAAAAACTGGTTTTCCAGAAAACGGGGTCTTCAAGAGTCATGGGCCCGAACCCTTTTAGGATTTTCTTAGTCTCATCGAGTCCTACTTATAGCCAAAATATGCAGTCAAACGCCGTCCGACAGTTGGATAGGTTCCCTCGTGAGCGGAATTTGCTGAATATTTCCGGATATGTTGGGGCTGTGGTGGTCAGACTAGATCAAATTTTCAGCCCCATGCCATGATGTTTGAGGAGATATTCACCAAACAAGGATCAAAAATAGCTCACTTTGCGTTCAATATCTCTCGGTCCAGGCTCGTGCTATAGGTTTTGTTTATTTTTGTTAGAAAGAGCGTGTCAGGATGCAGAGCACGGTGTACTTTTTAATGTTTTCCAGACACTCTATCATCAGTATAGTTTTGTACGGATTTCTACTGGCTTTCAACATTTATTGAAAATATTTTTCCAAGATTCTCAAAAGCTGCAAGATTTAAAAATTCTCGAGGTGGGAAATATATATCCCACTGGGCCTCAGAGGGTTAAATAAAAAGTTTAAACTATGAAAAGTATATCTTCATCTCCAGAACAGGAGAGAAAATTCGCATTTCCATCCTTTTTCATTTAAACGATGAATAGTGTACAAATTTATACATGACTTTCAGTCGTTTCTCAAAGCAAAATTCATAGATTTCAGTAAAATCGAGTAAAAAATTCAGCAGCTTTCCTAATCATTTTTTTCATCATATAGCACGAACAGATGCAACAAGGTTCTGTTTTTCGATGGGTTCTTCAGTATCAGCTGGTGCGACAAATGGTTCTAGGAGAAGAGTAAAAAATCTTTCGGGGATGATTACAATCCATCATAAGTACGCATAGTGTCTAACTTACTTTTATTAGCTAGAACTACATGATCATGTTTTGGTAGATACACAGGTATCAAGGCTAAAACAACAGTTGCTAATAATAGCAAACCGAATATCCCGGCACAGCATAAAGCAATTAATGGAACTGCGAAAAACCATCTGTTATTTTTCCTAGAAGAAATTACAATATTAATTACTTAATCCCTACTGGTGCTAACGAGTTACATACATTGCAGTTGATGATTGCAGCGAAGCAGGGACTGCCTCAACTGATGGATTCTGATGATACATTGCTTCAGTCGTATGTTTAAATTTATATTCTTTTCCTGAAAGTTGATTATATATCGCCCATAAGTAATTACTACT